AGTAAAAAGTTATAAGGTAACATACATAAAAAAACATACAGTCATTGAGTAACGCCTCCTTTTTGAAGTCGGCAGAAAACTGTCGCCAATTGTTTTAACGTAATTCTAGTTGAAATAAATATACATGAATGTAAAAAGTAAAGTTGCAGCCTATTTACGTTCCACTGCTGGGCACAGGCCTCCTTTCATTTCTGAAAGGGGTTTATGGCAAGAAAATGTCTGCCGCGCTGCCCCAATGCGTGTTGGCGAACTTCAAATGTCTTCGAAAATTTTTTTTCTTATTTCTCAGACATGCAGGTTTCCTCACGATGTTTTCCTTCACCGCCGAGCACGTGGTAAATCAGCACTTAAAATTGCAATTAACAATTTCATTGGTGCCGGCGGGGATCGAACCCGGGTTGCTAGAGTACTGTGAAGCTTAGAGCGAGCGCTAACCATCTGAGCTACCACGGCTCCCATGAATGTAAATTCAACCTTAAAACGCATTGCCTAAAGTTGTATTCAAAAAGCTACGTACAAATTAAAAGCGCACTCAAATGTTGGAGTGGGCGTTCATTCCGTAATGACATTTTTTGTCACTGATTGTGTATCTAGTTTTTTTATTAGTGATCGATGTGCAATCATAACAATTATTTTAGTATCAATAATGTGGAATTTAAAATTGGAACGACGACCCGGTAAGAGATGCATATAGTTCAAGATAATACGCCAGTATATTTTAAGTCTATGATTCAGGACCGAGCTTTGGGGCATTCCTTGGGGCAGGCCTATTTAGCAGACGACTTGTGAAGGGCTGTAATTATGATGATGATGATGAAGCTACAATTTTAAGTTCCGCAAAGTAACTTGTTCAGTGACGGGCAACAGTTTTTATAGGATAAGGGTGTCAAACGAGCACACAGTCCACCTGATGGTAAGTGGTTGCTGTGGCCCACAGACATCTACATATATCCTCGATGACGAATCAAAATGCAGATGCGTTGTCACCCCTGAGGACTAAGATGGAATGCCTCCTTTCCACCAATAAGGGTCTCCGGTTCTCTACACTCACCATACGAAACACAGTAGTGTTAAGCTGCTATTTTACGCTGGTATTCCGTGAGAGCGTGGTTTCCTACCCCGGTCGAGCCAACCCATTCGTGCTACAACTATACTACTAATATAGCTGCAGCATGGCTCTACCATGTACACATACGGATATACGGATACCACGTATACCACGTATACCACGTATACTCGTGTCCTAATTATATTGCAACTATAAACTATATTGTTATTGTGTGCGTGTATTATAATTGTATATATCAGTAGTAGTATGAATCAGCACCTAAAATTGTATTTAGAAATCTACCATGGTTCTATAAAATAAAATATTGGTGAACATAATATTATAATGTTATGGCTGTCTCGTCTTAAATATTTATATCTCTAAATAGATATTACTTATGAAGTTAATGGAGGAACACATGTTTATGAGAAATGTATAATGTTAATGAGAAATACATATAACATTTGTTTAATAGATATGACGGTGATGACAACCAGACGACGGCTCCGCGACCCAGTGGCTTAGCAACGAGTTGTTGCACCGGGCCCGCGGGTTCGAATCCCGCACGGAACAAGTATTTGTATGGCCTACAAATAATTGTTCCGGGTCTGGATGTTTGTCCTCGTGCAATTTATGTTTGTAAACTGCCTCCACGATACAGGAAACAATCCTAGTGTGGGTAACGTTTTCTCAAAAAAAAAAACAGATGGATCGTGAATGACTTACACGTAATTTCCGAATATTTATTAGGGACGAAGCAATCCATTGCCTTATAATAGTATATTATTATCTATGCAAACCATTTTTAAATACGATAACAGAGGGGCGTTATATGTTTGTATTATGTATCTGTGTATCTGTGTGTTTGCCTGTGGCATCACAGCTCCTGAACGGATGAACCGCTTTTGATTAAGTTGTTTTCGTTTGAAAGGTGTTTTAATCGAGTGTTCTTAGCTTTGTTTCAAGAAAATCTGTTCTGCCGAAAATCTTTTTGTTTCGGGTTTTTTTTTTAATTTTAATTTTAATTTATAGCCCAAAGAGAAGGCAACAATATGCATTTTGATTCTTAAATGAAGTATAGGTAAATGTCCTCTGGGGTAATAACCTTACACATTTTTATACAAACAAACTGTAGAGCCATGTTGCAGCTATATTATGGTTGTAGCACAAATGGGTCGGCTCGACCGGGGAAGGACCACGCTCTCACAGAAAACCAGCGTAAAAATAGCAGCTTAACGCTGCTGTATTTCGTATGGTGAGTGTAGAGAACCGGAGACCCTTTTTACTGGCAAAGAGGCATTCCATCTTAGTCCTCACGGGTGACAACGCATCTGCATCTTGAGTCTTTATTGAGGATAGATGTAGATGTCTATGGGTCACAGTAACCACTTACCATCAGGTGGACTGTGTGCTCGTTTGTCACCCGATCCTATAAAAAAAAACACGCATCTGTTTACCATTCATGTGGACTGTGTGCTCGTTTGGCTTTCATTTTTCTATTAAAAAGGTGATGAGCTATATAATACACTAATGTGTGCCAATAACAACCCACTGTGAGCCAATAAAAACAGGTAATATGATAAAAAATTATAAGTAAATGTGGCATTACGCATTGCTAACACGTTACACAACGACTATTGACCAATACCATGGCACAGGAAACGGCGCGGTTACTTAACATACCTACCTATTTATTTACGATTTTTATTACAAATTGTATGGGAATCATGTATAAATAAATAAAATTGACTTCTCAAGACATCCTGTCGTTGATGTATGGAATTTTGTGCCTCGTGTTTTTCTTGTTAATCAAAACATAGTAATTACCACCAATTTGCTTTTCATTCTTTATAAGTTGTATACTGATTTTTTAATTTCAACGTTAATATTATAACTATTAAGTTGTTTGTTTTCCAAAGAATATAAAAATTATAACAGTTCAGGATATAGTTTACCCATAAATTACACCAAATAACAATTAGCAAGTCTCATTATATCCTTTCTGGCCTTCGATCAACATTTGTTGATCGAAGTTTCTGGCATTATTTCCTTGCCCTAAAAACTTCTCAGAAATGAGAGAAGGCCTGTGCCCAGGAAGGAGAAGTATATAGGCTGTATCTTTAACTTTTAATTTTATTATATCCCTTTATTTATCTATCAAGTCATAAATTACATTACTACTTCTGATTTAGTATATGCCATGACGTACAATCATCGTCAGCATTTCTTTTTTGTCTTCAAATCGATATGTTAAGAACGCTAAAATATATGTTTTTTTTAAACTTAATAATTGAAAAGGGTGTTTAAGTAAGTGAAAAGAGTATTATGAAATAAGCATAACACTCACAAAAAAGTGAAAATACATTTGTGAAAGTTTTATATACAAAATAATATTAACAAACGAGCACACAGCCCACCTCCCGTAAGTGAATGCTATGCCGTACCTATAAGGTCCTGTCTGTCATGTCGGTCCTGTGTAATACCTCTTAGGTTCCTGTCCTCGACTTAGAATTAAAATTAAAAAAAAAAACAGATGCGATGTGAGATCTGGCATCGCATTCTTCTTCAATCATCAAGTTTTTCATATTAAGATTTCATATAAAGGCATTCATCTGCGCAGTGGTTTAGCATTTAGTCCTGGTGTAACGCACCGGACCACAAGTTTGATTCCCGCACGAAGCAAGTAATTGTGTATTTTCCTTTTTCAGCCTGAAAAAATTGTAGTAAATAGGTGTTTCTCCATATTCAATCAAGTATATAAAAATGCCTTCATTCTTGGTGTGTTAAAAGGAGATTACAGTTAATTTATGTTAGGTTCAGAAATTCAGTTCAAAAAAGCCTAGTATAATAACGCGACTTGTTTCGCGTGTTTAATTTCTGTCATTTGACAGCACAAAGTTTTCGATAGTATCTCAAGGCGCCTAAGCAGAGACACCTATCTTGAGATTCACATCACCATCGGAGTACTTCTTTCACCGTTTCCACTAATAGTTCACATGAGCAGACATCTAATACACAAAATCACTCTACTGTTACAATGTTATGATATTGTTTTTGGAAATTGCTTGGATAAATATTAAATTGAGAGTACTTTTGAAAATAACGCTCTTTTTCCTCTTTAATATACGAAGTGTATTTGACATATATTTATTACACATTTAATTTTATAATAATATTTTTTTAATACCTTAGTGTTTTTTTTTTAAATAAAATATTGTAAGTTTTAATAAACATAACAGCACAGTAAAAAGTAAACATTCGTTTGACAAACTGGCATATATAAATTTCTTTTTAATATTCTGAAATAAAATTTATTATCTGTTTTCTCACTTGTCAAAAGTAATAAAAGCACACTCACGGTCACGACTTTTGTCCTGAAGTAGATCGCACAAGCACGGGCAGCGTTGAAATGATAATATTATCACCGGTCACGTATCGCTTATATATTATAATACAATACAATATAAACTGTTAACAGGACCTATGATAAATATTTTTTTTATATTTTTCTCTGTTTTAATACAGATAGGATTGCAGTAGGGCGTTTGTTTACCTTGTTATACCTTAATACCTACTACTTTATATTAATACCATAATACCTTAGTGATTAATAGTGGACGCAAATGACAACATTGTTATTTTTGCTTCAATTTATTATAAAATTGATATCATTCGATAATTATTATTAGTTCTGTGTTCACAATAGAATAATTTCATTTTAATGATAAAGTAATTCACCAACAGTTTTAATTTAACAGTCCACCTGATTAGAAGTGGCTTCTGTAGTCCATGGACACCTACGCCCAATTTGACCCTTTTTCAACCGACTGCAAAAAACGGAAGAGGTTCTCGATTCGACTGTATTTTTATGTGTATTACCTCTGCACACTGCATGGGCTGAGGATAAAAAATTTGTCCCCCGATTATATTCACTGACAAGAGATAAAATATCTTGTCCTTATGCCAAAGCACGCCAACGTGGAGAAGTATATCCCCGTTTGACATGAGTAGAGATAATATATCCCCCGTCCGTAGCATGGAGCCAAATGAAGGTTAAAAAATGATGCTTTTTGACATTTGAAAGAGACAATATTATCCTAGTTCATTGGACGTGGTTTTAAGTTTATATTCATACAAAAAATCTATCTAAGTCTAGCTACCATTTTATCTACTGTGTATATTATATCCACCGGTGGGCCCATGCTCGAAGGGTGGATAAAACTAAGCAAGGGGATAAACATTTTCTTCCTTCCTCGGGGATAAAATTGTCCCCTGTCCCTGCAGAACTTTTTTGTAGGTGAACGGATTTTGATGACTCTTTTTTATTTATTTAAAAGCCGGTGCTTCTCATGTGGTCCTTATAAATTTGATCAAGATCTGACTGAGTACTTTTTGAGTTATTCTTAATAATGCGTATTTAATTAACTTTGACTACATTGATGATGTTCTCAATTTATTTAGGTATATTAAAGTCGGTTGTACAAAAATTTTAATTTTGTACAACCGACTTTAATATACCTAATTATAATAATAATTTGAAATAAAAACGGTTCAGGTGCTTTGTCACCTCTTATTTGAAAAATGTATATAAAAACAGAAATGTATGATCGCCCAACGAGTATATCTGTTCGACTTGCACGAGAATTAATGTACGTAAAAAGAGGTGTAGATAGTAGAAGAGGAAACGAAGATGCCTAATAGCGTATATATATAATAAAAAATACATAAAAAATACATAAAACTTCAAATTTTCACCCTTCTACGTTCAACCCCTGTTTTTTAATTGCGATTTTTAAAAGTAAAAAATATTTCCTAGAAATAATGTATATGGCAAAACAACGTTTTCCGGGTCAGCTAGTACATAATAAAAATGAATAATCATTTTAGCCTGAATCGCGAAGATGAGCTACCATTTGGTATTGATGTAAAAACATGGATACTCTTAGTTTTAAAAATAATTGAGTCTTTTAAATTTTATCTTTAATAATTAATAAAAGTTTTGAAAAAATTCTTAAGTCACAACATTTGGGGGAAGGGGGAGTTTACAATTTTATTATTTTTGCTTAAAAAAGGGGTGAGGGTCTAAAATTATAGAAAGTTTGCTTACGTAATACTTGAACGCCCCCCCTACCACCTAACAATACATAACCTCTATCTTTAAAATATTTAATTTCAAATCCTTTGCTTGAAATCTGCGAATTATACTTGATATCATTATTATGATTTTATTTTCATCATTTTTATCACCGTCACAGCCATGACCTACCCCAAAAATTTCTGTAAACACGCAAGTTTATTTATTATACCTAATCGCATCTATATTTATTATACCTAAGAAGATATAATAAATATAGATGAGATTAATGTATAATAGATACAGAATTAATAACTAATTTTTACATTTTTACAATAGTAAATATATTAATACCGTGGGTAAAGCGCTATAAAAAAAATTACACCGTTAGGCCCGCCACATACATACGGAATTACGTTTCGGGATTCCGTTTCGATATTCCGATTCGAGATTCCGAACGCAGCAAGTTCATATAAAACCTGTGACCCGTCACACACGTACGGTAGTTTTCCGTTCAAAATTTTGCTGGTAAAACGGGATTCCGTATGTGTGTGGCCGACCCGTACGGAATCACGAAATACTGTATCTTAGCGGTTAGCCACCGTAGAGTCTATATCACCTGAGGATGCCTCGTGTAGAGGCGAAACACGTGTCGTATTGTCGTCAATGGTGTGTCTTGCCTAGTGTAGTGGTGTTGGGAGTAGCGGTGCTGGGATTAGTGGTGACGGGGATAGTGCACGCAATTGAGGGAGGGCGGGAGGTGCTCTTCATACTAGGTAAGACACATCATTTTATTTTATAACGCGGATATTTGCGAAATAAAATTTTTCTAAAAATTTTTTCTAAAAGCTTTTATATAATAGATTTCCGCAAAGTAACGCCTGATTCTATTAATTATAGAATTTACAACGATTGAAGTACATGTAGTGAAAATCTGCTATTGAAAGAGTTGAAGGAAATGTTAGAAGAAGAGATATTTAAAAAGAAACGACTTTGGATAAGAAATGGATAGCCGACAGAACAGGAACTGGAGGTTCTGCTTTGTTGTGGACGCGACCTCATCCTACAATGCAGCTGACCAAGTACTGACTTGGTCGTTTAGACAAGGTTAATACCGCTGGTGGCGGGGAAAGTAGACTAACTTCAAAATAATCCAGCAGGAATATTTAAGTCAGCACTGACACGACAGTGCTGTACTGACTCCAAATCAATTTACACTATGTCTATCAGGTCAGCACTGTCTTGCCTGGAATTTGGAGCCAGTTACTGACCCTGTGTAAATCAGCCATTATGTATTATCTCTTCCAAAATTTAAAACGATATTTCCACAATTATTTTTTCTGCGGCAGCAACGCGCCGGTTACCAGCTAATGATGTATAATAAGCAAAAACAGATGTATTATCGATTTTGATGCATTTACTTAATGCAATGAAACCGGAGTTGCACAATCGAATTAGAGGTTTTAAATCTCGATGCCATTGTGAAAACGAATAATTTTTTCATTACTGTGTTTGATAAAATTATTTGTTCAGTATTTAATTTAGCGCGGTCAATTTTAAAAACTGCAAATCATTTGAAACACTGTGTATTATAATTTAAACAGAAACTATTGATCAGACCTTGATCAAATTTATATGGGACCACATGTGAAGCACCAGCTTTCGAATAAAAAAAGAATCATCGAAATAGGTTCACCCAGAAAAAAGATATGAGGTAACATACATATTATAAACATACAGTCGAATTGAGTACCTCGTCCTGGTTGAAGTCGTTAGAAAATAGGTTATATTAAACACGATAAAATAACACCTGTAAAACTTGGTTTTATTCAATGTGCAATTTTCACCAAAACATGAGAAATCACCAAAAACAAACCGTGTAGTGATGTAATATCCACTACCCCATATCGTTCTGTGGATGTCGTAAGACGGGAAGAGCGGAAGAAACCAAAAGATGGGTAACAGCGCCTTTTTATTATCAATTCTTTTAGAACTATACGTGGTAGAGTCACGTTGCTGCTATATTATTATTATGGTTGTAGCACGAATAGGTCGACTCGACCAGGGTAGGTTAGGTTAGGTTAGAAGCCGTGGTTAGCCACGCTCTCACAGAATACGAGCGTAAAATATCAGCTTAACGCTGATTTTTTTCGTATGATGAGTGTAGAGAACCGGAGAGCCTTTTTACTGGAAACGAGGCTTTCTATCTAGTCTTCAGGGATGATAACGCATCTGCATTTCGATTCTTAGTTGAAGATAAATGTAGATGCCTATGAGTCACTGCATTCACTTACCATCAGGTGGATTGTGTGCTCGTTTTTTACCCTTTTTCTATAAAAAAATATGCGTGAGTGTCGTGGAACACTCGGTTGGAACAAAGTTCCTTTCGTAGTATATTATTATTGTTAAAAGTATTATATTATTGAGAAATACAAATAAATGAATTACTAGCGTCTATTAAAATTAAGCGTCATTTAAAATAATATTTCTTTCATGGCAAAATAAGAAAAAGTGCGAGGGAGATGATATTATTCCATCTCGCTCGTACTATTGAAAGGAGGGAAATCTTACACTTTTTCTCGCCTAGCAACCGTCAAATTCGTACCTAAATAGGTTTCGCTGTGACTTATTAACTTTTAGTTCCATTGTATTGTGTAATTGTATCAATATCGATTATAAATTGGTTGTTTTTTTTATATTAATATCTTATCTTAGACACAGTCTTAGGTCACGAAGCCTTATCATAATTTTAAAAAACATAACGCAATAGCTTAGCGATTCTCGTCGGCAACGCTTGCCACCAGAGTTATGCAATCCACGCAATCGATTTTCTACGTGGTAGAGCCACGATGCAGCTATAATATGTTTGTAGCACGAATGGATCCACGCTCCACAGAATACCAGAGTAAAAGCTGCTTAATGCTGATGTGTTTCGTATGGTAAGTGTAGAGAACCGGAGACCCTTATTACTAGATGTGAGGCATTACATCGTAGGCCTCAAGTCTAACAACTATATACAGGTGCTATGGACCACAAGCATTCACTTACCAGCAGGTGGACTGTGTGCTCGTTTGTCACCCTTTCTCTATAAGAAAAATAATATTCGCACAAACTTACTATAATACGTAAGTGATGTGAGACCTTCCAGGTGGCAACGCATCTGTAGCCTTTATTTTTATTAATAATAATAATTTCCCACAAACCACATGAGATGTGTATGTACGTGTATTTATATATATGTACTCCCCGTGTAGTGACGGGTAAGAATACCCACTACCTCATATCTTCCCGTGGGTGTCGTAAAAGGCGACCGAGGGAAACTGAGGCAGAAGATGGGCAACAGCATTTTTCTGATAACAGCAAAACAGCAATAAAAAACTGCGGTTGCCAACCCGCTCGCCAAGCGTGGCAACTATGGCAATATACCCCCCCATGAGCAATGACACTAATAAATGGCCCCCAGTTCTCGGTGGCCCCGCTATCCCTGCTACGGTAGTGACTATGGTAACAGTGTAGCAGGGGGTGCTAAGAATCTCCGGTGGAGGTTCGGTTACTTTACCTGGCAACATACAACGCACGCACCCTGAGGACTGACGAGAATATCCTGGAGCTGGAAGAAGGGATAGATAAGTTGCGCTGGAATATTGTAGGATTGTAGGATATCCGAAGTTCGAAGAGAAAGGGAGGACACGGTAATCCTCGAATCCGGCAACTTGTTCTATCACCGGGAGGGCGTCCATCTGTCCCAAGGAGGTGTCCGATTTATCGTCCACAAGTCTTTCGTTAACAACGTGGTAAAGATTGGGAGTGTGTCGACGAGGGTTGCGTACCTTATACTCAGAATCACCAAACGGTATTCCCAAAAGGTCATACAGGCTTACGCACAAACCTCGGCACATTCCGATGAGAAGGTCGAGAAAATGTATAAGGATATCTCTAGAGCCATGCATTCCTCCAAAACCCATTATACGGTATTAATGGGAGACTTCAACGCAAAACTAGGCACAAGAGAGAACAGTGAGCTGAAATTAGGGAAATTCGGAATAGAGCAACGGAACCCAAGGGGCCAGCAGCTGGCCGACTTCATGGAGAAAGAGGGACTCCACACGAAGTGGGCCTGGTCGAGCCCCGACGGTTCGACAAAAAATGAGTTGACTTTCAGCTCGAGTTACAAAATCGTTTTCAGTGCCTAGAAGATTGCAATTCAGTGGACGATATAAATGACAAGCTCATGGAAACTGTCTATGCGGTCGGAGTTAGTTCTGCAAGACCCGCCGTATAAGAACACAAAAACTCTATGATCACACTCTTAATCCCATGGCTGTTAAACGGGAAATGAAGTTGCAATCTTCAGTAGATTTGATAGCATACAGACAACTGAACCGACAGATCTCCAAATGCATGCGGCGGGACTTACGCAACTTTAATACTGCTCGTATTGAAGAAGCGATCGAGCGAAACCAGGGCTCCAAAGTCTTTACCAGAGATCTGTCTGCCAGAAAGTGCCAACTGTCGAAGCTGAAGACCGAATATTGCATATGTATCGTTTCTGAGACACATGAGAGTTTGAGAGAGATTCTATGGGCAGCTGTACACGTCATCGTTGGAGCCCCACGCAAGTGTGAGTAATGATCCAAAAGCAAGTCTTATCCGACACTATTCCGATGATATCCCGGACGTTAGTCTGAGCGAGATTAGAATGGCACTCCAGCACCTTAATAATGGCAAATGCCATCCTCGCCCGGGCGAGGATGGAATTTGAATGGTACTTAAAGTCCTTCAGAAGCATTTTAATTCCGTCCTTCATGGAGGCACTACTTCGGAGGCGTGGAGCAGAAGTGCAGTGGTCTTGTTCTTCAAGAAAGACGACAACGCTCTCTTGAAGAACTACAGACCGATTTTCTTTCTGAGCCGCGTCTTCGTGCTGTCTTCGAGAGTCATTTCGAATCGTCTTGCATGCAGATTCGACGTCTTCCAGCCTCTCGAACTAGCCGGTTACCGAAAAGGCTTAAGCACCATAGACCACATACATACCCTTCGGCAAATTGTACAGAAGTCCAAGGAATACAATTTGCCACTACTTTGTCTGGCGTATGTGGACTATGAGAAAGCCTTTGATTCCGTTGAAGTTTGGGCGGTGCTGCAGTCGCTTCAGTGGTGCCAAGTTGACTGTCGGTATATCGAAGTGCTGAAGTGTTTGCAGTAGGGCTACGATGACTATCCGAGTACAGAACCAGAGTTCGAAAGCTATCCAACTGCAGAGAGATGTAAGACAGGGTGACGTAATATACCCGAAACTCTTCACCGCTGCATTAGAAGACGTTTTCAAGCTGTTTAACGTCCATGTCACAGAGAGAGAGGTTAATCGACGTATTCAACTCAGCTGAGCAGCGTTCGGGAAATTACGACACATCTGGTCAGGTATACCTCAAAACCTGAAAACGAGATTGTTTAACCAGTGCGGTTGCCAGTGATGACGTATGGATCTGAGACGTGGTCCTTCACTGCTGGCCGTATGAGGAAGCTCAAAGTAGCTCAGCGAGCTACGGAGAGGGCTATGCTCGGCGTTCCTCTGCGTGATAAACTTAAAAACGAGAATATCCGCAGTAGAACCAGAGTAACCGACATAGCCCAAAGAATTAGTATGCTGAAGTGGCAATGGGCCGGCCATATAGCTCGAAGAACCGACAACCGATGGGGAAGAAAGGTTCTCGCGTGGCAGCCTCGTACTAGCGAAGTGTAGGCCGAACCCCTACTAGATGGAGTGACGACCTTGTAAGACATGCAGGAAGTTGATGGATGCAGGTGGCTCAGGACCGTGCTTTGTTGCATTCCTTGGGGAGGCCTATGTTCAGCAGTGGACTTGTGAAAGGCTGGACTGAATTAATGACTGATATTCATTAGGTAGGTTGGTTCATAGCAACGGGTTTAACGGCTCATATATCTCGCGTTGATTATTGAAACCGGAAGCCCACTAACAAGGTGATGATGTTTTTATTATGAAAACACATGACAAGTCTAGTTCATAAAATAAGTGATTAAAACTAATATTGATACTGCGACATAAAACGTAGAGATTATGTGTACGCTGTGTTGCGACATAGTGATTGACCAGAATTACCGCATATTATTGGCTATGGATTGTCTCTTTAATACTTATATATATACTAGCTGGCCAGGCAGACGTTGTTCTGCCCTTTTTGACGATCCTTCATATAAAAAAATCCTTAAATTCGTAATAAAAAAATATTGAGGGTCACTTATCAGGATAAAAACTATCCCATCTCTCAAGTTGGACCAAACTGCACAGAGTGTGCAAATTTCATTGAAATCAGTTCAGTAGTTTAGGAGTTCTTCGCGGACAAATAATGTGAGAGTATATGTAGTTGTAAAGATTAGGATGGAAAAGTTCAGAAAAAATATTTTTGCAGTTTTGGCCTCCGTGAGATTATTTTTCCATTAGCGAAAAAATATTAGATTGGAGAACGATTTGCTAAAACATGTGTCTCATATTTTTACGTACTACAACACTAAGCACATGCAATTCTGTACTATGAGGAATCTGATCTGGAACGAATTTAATTCAACAAACTGGTACGTACAGTTATATTCTCATGCAAGGTTGTCACCATTTCTCTATGATGCCTAAGATCTCGTGACTGATGTTAACAGTATGAATGTGAACATTTCTAAAGAAAAATCCTTTGCCTTGCTGACTAAAGGATGTCTCTTTTGAATTTCTCGCACGGTTTCATGCGTAATTGGTTTTATTTAAATGGTTTATTTCGTCTTTCGGAATGCGTAAAGCATGGGAGTGGAATAAATCCAGTAAAAAGGGTCTCCGGTTCTCTACACTCACCATACGAAACACAGTAGTGTTAAGCTGCTATTTTACGCTGGTATTCCGTGTGAGCGTGGTCTCCTAACCTGGTCGAGCCAACCCACTCGTGCTACAACTATACGACTAATATCGCTGCAGCATGGCTATACCATGTACACATACGGATATACGGATACCACGTATACTCGTGTCCTAATTATTGTGCAACTATAAACTATATTATAAATTATAAAATAGTATCTTTGCAAAATGAGTATGGGGTAATTTATAATATATGGCCGCTAGAGGCCATAGCCTAGCGCTGCCAATATTTATTCTGCCTTTGAGGATAGATGTAGGTGTCTATGCGCCTCTGAATTTACTTATGATTAAGTTGACAGTGTGCTCGTTAGTCAGCTCGTCACCCTTGTTGTATAACAGTATATAAAGACTTCAGCACTTAGATAAGCCAACCGAACCTTAGGCTTTCTCAAGGTCTATGTACGCAGAATAGAATAGAAGGGAATATTAATTTATTTGCATTGAATGTAGGTATTAACAATAAGGTGTTGACAGAGTACATAAAAGATCTGTACATTCTGCCAATTTGGCATCATCATTATCATCATCATTACAACCCACAAGTCCGCTGCTGAACATAGGCCTCCCCCAAGGAATGCCACAAAGCACGGTCCTGAGCCACCTGCATCCATCGACTTCCTGCATATCTTACCAGGTCGTCACTCCATCTAGTGGGGAGACGCCCTACACTTCGTCCGCCAGTACGAGGCCGCCACTCGAGAACCTTTTTCCCCATCGGTTGTCGGTTCTTCGAGCTATATGGCCGGCCCATTGCCACTTCAGCTTACTAATCCGTTGGGCTATGTCGGTCACTCTGGTTCTACTGCGGATATCCTCATTTCTAAGTTTATCACGCAGAGAAACTCCGAGCATAGCCCTCTCCATAGCTCGCTGAGCGACCTTGAGCTTCCTCATCCGGCCAGCAGTGAAGGACCACGTCTCAGTTCCATAGGTTATCACTGGCAAACAGTCTCGTTTTCAAGTTTTGAGAAATATTATATTGCAAATATTAAATTAAAATTTATTTCTATATATCGCAATAAAGTGATTATGTAGGTATGTATTTTGTATGGGGTCTATGGTACTAAAGACTTCTCGGAATTCGGCTTATTCGGGAGGTTGGATGTTGTCTAGTCTCTGAAAAAGCGACACTAAAAGCAGACAAGCATATGATTATGGCATATTATATTATATATATATACGATTTAGCCTGCGAGAGAATGAGAAATAATACATTATACGGTGTTTCCTATTATGTATGGAGATCTCTCATAGCCTTCTCATAGATCACATGTGACCTATGAGAAGTAAGGATTAAGGACATATTTTGTTGCTTAGAAAATATTTAAATATTTTGTACCTATAATATGCAGAATAAATTCAAAAATATTTTTTAAACTTGGTAACAATATTGTAATTTTTTTTATAGGATAAGGGTAACAAACGTGCACACAGTACACCTGATGGTAAGTGGTTGCAGTGGCCCATAGACATCTACATCTATCTTGTATTACGAATCAAAATGCAGATGCCGTCACCCGTGAGGACTAAGATGGAATGCCTCGTTTCCAGTAAAAAGGGTCTCCGGTTCTCAACACTCACCATACGAAAGACAGCAGCGTTAATCTGCTATTTTACGCTGGTATTCTGTGAGAGCGTGGTCGTTCCCCGGTCGAGCCGACCCATTCGTTCTACAACCATAATATAGCTGCAGCATGGCTCTACCACGTATAAAAAAGTGTAATAAACTAACCCTACAATCATCCTACTCTTGATACCCTGAATTCATATCATTCTCTCGAAGTTTAATTTTTTAAAGATTTACTTCTACCGCATTTAACCGCACACATATTTTCTAAAGACTTCAAAAGGAGACGGTACTCAATTCGACTGTATTTTTTTTACATAACTTTTTTCTAGGTGAACCGATTTCGATGATTCTTTTTTTTTTTTGAAAACTGGTACTTCTCATGTGGTCCCATATAAATTTGATCAAGGTCTAAGTAGGTTTTGAGTTATTC